CTTCATTTCTTTTGCTTCTGCCCTTCTTTTGGCTTTCCTCTTTTTTTCTCTGAGTCTCTTGGCCGCTTTGATCCGCTCCAGTTGCTCTGCCGGTGATCTCTTGCTCTTGCCTTGTTGGTCTGGCTTTTTCGAAGTGTTCAGATCCAAAGCAGCAGGGAGTGCAGGGGCGGCTGTTGAACTTTGGCCAGGAGTCGGGGTGCTGCAAGTTGGCACTTCTGAGCCCCCTTTGCTTTCAATCTTCACGTCCGGTTTCTTTTCCACATTCCCTTTGCGGTCTTCTTGTTCTATCTCGTGGGGTGCAATGAGCGTGGCATTGCTCAAGGTTGATCCCTCTGTATCAGAGTTGTCCACCAACATGCCTGGTTGAATCACAGTGATATCAGTGGCACCACTGCCTTCGCTGGCTGTATCACTTGTTGCATCCACATTGGCCATGGCTTGAACCAGAAAACAAGGGTCGCTTACAAAAATTGAAAAGAATAAAGAGTTGAAAAGTCAACCTCATTGAGTCGCTGAACATAAATTTGTGGTCTGTTGAATTAACATCATTTGGTGTGATATCTTGGCCCCTTGATATCCAAAAATTGCTTTAAAGTTGAGAGCTATATACATTGATGCTATGGACAGAATAAACTGCGGATCATTGAGTTTGTGTTCGAGTTTGGCAGCCTACTACTGGAACCAAAGTCTGGCACGCCAAGTCGACATGACCTGGCAGCCAAACCATGGAACCAATAGCCTGGCACACCATACAAGTGTGAGTGAACAAACAATGCGCCACATTCAGTTTGTGAAAACTTTGCAAAGTGTGACATGGAAGCTTGAAATTCTGGCCTCAGAAAGAGATTTCTGCCAAGTAGCGCAGTCACACCTCTTTTTTCACACTGCGCCACTCTCCTTTGTTTGGGCCATGTCGCTGGGCCATTCGAGGGCCTTCCAAACCAATAAGTTGGCTCATTGAATTTACAATATCCAATCTTCATCCAAATTGCAAATTGTAGAAAAAGTACATTCAGCAACACCTGGCCTTCTGGAGATTGGGATCCAAAAACTGCTCAGATCACAGCTTTGCAGGGCGTTGGCCCAAACGGCGCTTGGACTTGAAACCCAACAAACACCCTGCGCCACATTCCGACTAGGAGACAACAGGTGAAAATAACTTAGAACATATAAATCACAAAGTGCGACATGTCAAAAACAAAGTGGCTGAAAGCAGAAGCCGGATCCAAAGGTCACAGTCACAGCTCCAGCTGTGACTGGCCACTAGGGCCGAACAACTACTAACGCTTGCCGAGGCGGGATCTGCACCGGAGATTTCAGAAACACCGCAGGCTTCAATGGAATGAGGCCTTTCACTGGGCTATGCTTCATGTGCCACATGATGGCCACTGAATCACTTGAGTGCCACAGCTGTACATTCTCACGAGCGCCAGCGTTGGAATCCTTCACCTCAGCAGCTTTTTCCTCAGGCCTGGGAATGAACACCACTCGATGGGTTCTCTTCAGTTGGAACTTGTGGGGATCTTCACTATCAAAGCTCATCTGGAAGTAAGTCACTTTGGTCTCGGGGTTCTTTTTCCTCAAGTCTTTCACCACTTCTCCCAGCTGCACCACACGCCCATCGAAACAAATCTGGTCAGAACTGCCTTCCAAAGATAGTTCAACCCCACCATCCGGCAAGTCAGCATCACCCTTGATCATCTTGAAGCTTCCCTTTCCGAAGCCACAAATTGGCAAATCCTTGCCTGACCAGTCCTTGTTGGCTTTGTTGGCCAAGAAGATATGGTTGCCAGCCCTGACTTGAAGCCACAAGGAGTCCTTGACGTTGGTGCCAACCTTGCACTCATACAAAAGCGCTTTGTCGATCTTCTCCAGTTCAATCAAAAGCGATGGGTCTGTGGCCTTGGTTCTCTTTGGGGTTGTCTGTCCTTCTGGCTCTCCAGCTTTTCGCTTCTTCTCTTCAGCGTTTGGACTAATTGCTTGGGCCTCGATGACCTCATAGGTCTCAAGAAAATTGTCCAGCACCTTTTGGAACTGGCTCCCACAGGTTGAGTGTCCACGCCATTCTTGCACGAGCTTGGCAGGCATGAACAGCTTGCCATCCCGAATGACCTGTGGTGAACCAATGAATATCAAAAGTTGGCAACTGGATTGGTAAGGAAGGATTCAATGAATGCTGCTTTATGCTTCTGGTTACTACCCAAAATTGTCTATTGAGTCTATTTGTTTTAAGCCATACTGTTGTACTTGGTGATGGCCTGGGCCTAAAAATGTTGTCACTAAAAGAAAACAATTCTGATCAATGTCCAAAAAACCAAGCAGTTGAGACGAGGGTTCTGGGGCAAGGCCTCCAGCAAATCATCGGGGACAGACGCCTCAATTTTCTCCCCGTTGGGGAGCGCGGCGCCAGCAAGAAACTTGTCAGCCATATCATTCTTGATCCACTGCTCCACATAGCTGGCTTCATTTTGGTCTTCAGCCAACCCGAAGTAAAAGACATGAGGCGTGCTAGCCCTCATCTTGCAAAATGCCTGCAGCATGTCGCCGGTCATGATGTGCAAATCTATCAGCAAAAGAGCGGGACCAATGGTTGCGTATGTGCTCCCTTTCAGCAAGCCATTGAGCAGCTCATGGCAACAATCTGCACCAATTTGTGAGTATTTTGAAGCACCTTTCACTCGGCTGGTGGTATCAGTAGACTCAGGCAAAGCATCGTCAGCCAAGTTTTCCACTTCTCGCATATCTCGTTGGTGCAGCTGGGCCACCTCATTGGTTCGCTGAAGGCGCCGGAGCTCTGAATTCCAAAAAACGTTCTTCTGAACATCGAGGGGGGAAGCAAACACAAATTTGCCTGCATACACCAGAGGTCGGAGGTCTCTGTTGTCCTGCCGGTTGCCAAACATTATGGCAAAGCCCCAATCCAGATTGTGATTCCCACCCATGAGCTGGTCATACAAGGCGCGTTCTTCCAAAAGGATGCGGCCCTTTTGGTAGCTGAACACTGGGTTGACTACAAGACCCACGCCTTGCATATTCTCAGCCAAGGCCCAGGTCATCACCTCAACACTGTTCTTCAAATGCACCGTGGAGAGGACACATGGGGCACTGGCATTGAGGTAGCAAATGTGTGGGATCTGGGTCGCATGCTCCAAGCCCATTTGGTTCATGATCACTTGGCGCCTAAAGTTCATGCATTCGCCGATGTTCTTCTCAACCTTCTTGTCCCAAGGCACAATCCGACAGCAAGACTCGAAGAAGGTGTCAGCTGCGGCGAGGGCCTGCTGCCTCTTGTCAACCTTCCATTTCATTGCAGCATGATCACGATTAGCCATAGCTGTGGCTTTCTTGGCCTCCCATGTGGTGAAAACCTGAACATCATATTCAATTTGCTTCACCACCAAATCAAATTGTCCTTGTGTGATGGAGCTTTCCTCATGGTGGCTTCTCACCACTGGTCGGGAGATGACATCACACAACTTCTTCATGCTGGGCACATGGGTTCGAGGATCCAAGTCTTCTCTCCTTTCAAGGAGCAAACTATCTAGCTCAATATCCACGTTGCAATCCCCTTCAGCCCAAGCCACACACCAATCCTGGAAAACCTGCTCAAACCTCAAAGGCACCAGGTTGCATAGTTCATTGGCTAAGTTGTAAGCCAAGGCAGCTTTCCTCGATGCATCCTCCACAACACTTGCATCGGGCCTGGAACGCATCTCCACCGATCGGGCCTTGAACTTTGCATGCAAGTAGCGGATTGCAAGCAACATGCTTTGGTCACTGGTTTTCAAACGGTTCACCCATTTCTTCGATTTGGCCGGGAAGGAAAACTTTGGGAAAAGCTTCTTGGTAGACAAGTTGTCATCCGACCAAAGAGCCTTGTCAGAACCCATTTCTGACACATGGCTCAAGATCAGCTGGAGGGCCTCCTGCCAGGGAGCCCTTGGGGAGAAAACATTTGAGATGGTAAGATCAAACAATTCAACACTTTGAAGCGCATCTTCCTGAATCTATATAACAAAAACATGAAGATCCAATCCAATAGAAACAAAATTACAATATAGAATAATAGTATGCCAATTTGCAGACTTTGAGCTAACAAATTGAGACACCCTCACTGCCCATCACCCAGTCCTCAGGGGCTTCTTCAAAGAGCAACTTCATGGCAGTCAAACGTTTCCCTTTGAATTGAAACTGTTGGGCAGACATAGAGTTCCACTGCCGGACAAAGACCATGTGATCTCGCACACTGCCCATGTTCATCAAGTTTTTCACCATCACAACGCATTCCAGTGTAGTGGTTGCTTTCCGAAGGGAAGACCGACAGCTGATCCTCATGTTGGTCAAAGCCTCTTCTACCCGTGAACTGACCTTCACACTGTGCATGTGAATGCGCCTCACCGAAGCATACAAAGCGCTGAGGTCTTCCCAAGCATCGAACTTCATCACCATCAAGCGGTGCAGCAAAAACAACAAAGATGAAGCACGAGCCATACCCTTCAGGTATCCCAAACTAAAGCAAGGCAAAGGTTCTATCACTCCATCATGCCACAAAGACACTGGACGTCGGGAGTCTTCAACTAGCATGTTCTCCAACACCAGCAGCGGCCCAGTGTCCGGTGTTGTGGTGAGGAAACCTTCCAGTAAGAACTGCTCACACAAAGCAAGACATTGCGCTTGGCCTGGAGGAGGCTTCAGAGAACATTTCTCAGAGAACCCCAAACTGGCTACATGGCACAAGAACGGAGGGGTTGAACTGGCTTCAGACTCCTGAATCAAAGGCAATCCTTTGGTGCGATGATACAGAAATGAATCTTCTTCCGGAAAGGTTGTCCACAACCACTCCCCGAACTCCAACAAGTCCACATCGGCCAGGTACTGGGCGGGGCCACCGGCTCTGGTGAGCACTGAAGACAAGTCCTCCATCACTCTATCCTTCACACGGTTGTTCCAGGTGCTTGGCATATCTGGACCTGCTGCTGCTTCAGCCTCATGGCTTGGAGCTATGAGCCATTCATCCAAGGTGGTGGCATCCATCTTGGTCTCTCCAACTTCATGGTCAGCTATCATCGTGTTTCAAGCTTGGCAAGCCCCGGCCTGGCAGCCTCCAGAAGAGGCACGCCAGTCCAAAGGCAGCCTGGCCTTCACACCGAAGATGGCTCCAAATGAATCTTGAACCCTGCCAAAGGAAAACGGCCGCGGATGAGTGAGACTGGGTTTGTGAAAACAAAGCTCCACCAGTGACTGCAAAACAAAAGAATATATTTCCAAAGGTCCAAAAATTTCTGAAATTGTTTAAGCAAGAATCCGGCCCATGTCCCTACTGTAGAATTTCAACCGGAGATGGGCTGGTTTCATTTGAAACCGGCCTATGTTCCATTGAAGACAGAAGATCTGCCTAAAAGGGAATTGGAAATACAACTGTTGATTTGGCTGGGAAGTCCAAAACACAGTCGAGATAGGCTGGTTTCAATTGAAACCAGCCCATCTCACAATCAAAATTTTAAGTAGTGAGATGGGCATTTTTCAATCAACCTTAAACATTTCCAATGCAAACAGAATGCTCGCAAATTTTTTGCAGTACTGTTTAGGGTTTAGGGTTTCACTCTGCGACCGCTTCTGTTTTTTCCCAAGATGCTCCTGACCAGATCATCCCTGAAGTAAGATGGAACCCCCAAGTTCCAGCTTGAGAAACGGTGACACTGTGATGTATCACATAGCTGCTGGCCACACAAACCTGGAAGTCAATCAAAAAGTGAAAAATACACCTAAAACAACATCAATGTCCAGAAAAAAACATCGGGCGTTAGTCAGAAATATTTTGGTTCACTTCTGCTGCATGGCCTTAGCTAGAAGGGACACCAGCGGTGGTGGGTACTTTTGGCACCACTTCGACATTGAAAAGCCAAGTTCCGAGCCCTCTATGGGCCTGTGAGTGTGGTTGCCTGGGCACTGCCTCTGGTTCAATTGATCAGCCAACCACTTGTCATTAGTTAAAATAGTGGTTCTTTTTTTTACTGGCTGTCCTGCTGGTGAAACCATGCCACAGGCACACATATCGAAAGTTGCTGTGAATACATTTGGATGCCGCTGGACCTCTTGGACTTCAGGTAAGCCCCAAGAGGACGCTTTCCAAGGATGTTCATACATGAAGCGGCGTTTGCCGCGCAGCTGCACTTTGGCACAAGACATGCTATGGCAAACATATTGCACTGCCTGCTGCCAACGACGATCAAAATCACTAGCGCTCATCCTGTGGTAGTTGAACAATCTCATGAGCTCGCTGAACATCGTGCATGGAGGTGATAGGTACAAAAACCAAATGCATCCAGAACGAAGCATCTTCAAAGTCAGCGCTCTCAATTCCGCAATGTCGAAGTTCCAGTGATTCAAAACGTCAAAACTGAAGCAACCCAAAGGGGATGCAGCAACTTCTGGCGTTGCTTTGGGAACTACTCGTGGCACAGAGTATAACTCCATGGCCAAGTTGGCCAAGTGTTTCCAATGTGCATGTGACTGGAGTGGTGATATGGGGTGTGGAAGAGCAATACTATTTGTTGCCCATGGACCTGCCCAAAAGCTCATCTATGGAATGCACCATTTTGGCTAAAGCGCTTGATGAGACCAAGAAGCGATTGAAAGAAATAGATCCAAGCTACGATTTGCCTTGCCACCTCATCGTGGCCGTCGACAACACCCCCAGAGAGGCCAAGAACCAGTACTTTGCACAGTTTTGTGCATATCTCAGCTGCAAGCACTTCGCCTCGGTGCAAGTTGAGTTTCTGCAAGTATCGCACACTCATAATGAGCTGGATCAACGGTTTTCAAGCATGGCCAGTTTGATAAAGCGCTGTGATGAGTTGCAAAGCATCGACCAATTGCGAAGCTACTTGCAGGCCCATATGCGTCCTGCTCAGGGCAGAAGCTTGTCAGTGCATGTGCTTGACAACCATTGGAGCTTCAGCCAGTGGTTTGCTGGGCAGACAAGTTGCCAGCTCTCAGGTCTGACCGCGACCAAGCTCCAACCGCACGCGAACCACCTCTGGCGGTTTTCTCGAAGAGAAATTTTGGAGCAAGAGCTGATTCAGAACAACCATGATGAGTGGGCCCTTTGGCCAGAAAGTCCATTGGATATTTGCATGCAGGTGAAGCAATACATTTCATCCCCAGAAATGTCTCAGGCCCCAGAGGTCATCATGCCATACCAGGTCTACCAGAAACTGTCCAAGAACAATTTGGTGCCTTCAAGCTTGAACAAGTTTGCGCCCACCACCCTACAGGAGTTCCGCAAGACTGCCGAGTTGGTGGGCAAACCACCATGGAATTTGCTAGAAGGCCAAAGCTACTTGTTGGATTTGTGTGAACGCAATGAAGCTGGCGTGGTGCCAAAGCCACCTGACTTGTTCTGGGTCTTTTCTTTTGAAAGCCAAAGTCCCAGATTGGATCCAGTGATTGGCCCTGCACTTTTGCTCGAAGATTTGCCGCCACCAGAGAATCCTCCACCTCGCCCAATCCGAGTGGGCGCCAAGAAGATGGCCATGAAGCGACCAGCAGCTGGACCCGCGCTTCCAGCACGCCCCATCCAAATGAAAAGGCCCGCTTCAAGTACTGACCTCCCAGCAGGTGGCCTGGCAAATGTGATAGACTTAGAGGTATCAGATAGACCGTCAGAGGCTGCAGCTGCGCCCTCCGTTGTGGCAAAATCAGAAGCAGCAGCATCAGCCAAGGCAGTTTCACAGCCATCACCCAAGGCTGGTGGTGTGAAAAAGATGCGTCGCCCAGCTGCAGCTGTGGAAAAACCACCTGATTCAGCTGATGCAATCCGGGCCTTGCCAGGCTTCGAATGCTTTGGGTGCAGCAAATG